CCCTATAGCCTCTCCAGCATTTGTTATTCATTGATTTCTTGATGATAGCCATTCTTTCTGGCATAAGACGGTATCTCAGCATTGTTTTGACCTGCATTTCTTGAATGACAAGTGATGTTGAACATTTTTTTCATATATTTATTTGTCCTTCATATCTCTTCATCTGAGAAGTGTATATTCATCTCAGACAGTCTTTGTCTGATGGACAGTTTGTCATAATTGTTTCCCACTTTTTGGGTTTTCTTTTTATTCTGTTGGTTATTTCTTTTGACATGCAGAAACTTTTCAGAAAGATGAGATCCCAATTGATGATTTTTCAAAGTATTTTCTACACAGTTTGATTTTTGTTCATGAACTCTTTACTACCCCTATGTCCTTCAGGTTTTTACTGACTTTCTCTTCTAGAAGATTTAGTGTTTCAGTTTTAATATTTAAATATTTGATCCATTTTTTACTGTAGTTTTGTGCATGATCATTGGTATGGGTCTATTTTAAACCTTTGGCATGTGGAAAGCCAGTATATCCAGCACCATTTATAAAGAGGCTAATTTTCTTCCAATGAAAATGTTTGGCCCCTTTGTGAAAAATAAGGTGGCTGGGTATGCTTGCAGTTGTATCTATATATCCTAACCTGTTCCACTGGTCTTCAGGTCTGTTTGGTTTTGTTTTGTTTTTCAAGTACCATGCTGATTTTATCATAGTAGCTTTGTAGTATTTCAAGTCAGGGATTGTTATGCCTTCTGCCTTTCCTTTGTTACCCAAGGTTGCTTTTGCTATTCTAGGTCTCTTCTGGTTCCAGATGAATTTTAAGAATTTATTTTTAGGTATGTGAGGTATAGTAGTGGTATTTTAACTGGAATTGCATTGACCCTGTAAAACAATTTCGGGAGTATGGCCATTTTCACAATGTTGGCTCTTCCTATCCAGGAGCAAGAAATATTTTTCCATTTTCTGAAATGATCTTCAATTCCTCCTTTTCAAAATGCTATAATTTTCACTGTATAAATCATTTACTTCCTTTGTGAGATTGATTCCTAAGTATTTCTTTTTGGTGTTAGAGTGAAAAGCATAGTTTCAATAATTGCTCTCCTGATGCATTTGTTCTTTGTGTATAGAAATGCTACTGATTTTTGAGTGTTAACTTTGTATCCTGTTACTCTACTGAATTGTTTACTTGTTTTTTTTTAAGACCAGCTTAGCCCACCCTGTGGCAAGACTGGCACAGCATGTGGTGCCAGGGATTGAACCATGGTCCCTGTGTACTCAGCAAAACTTGCCTAAGAAGGTGCTTTAGACTACTGAGATATCTGCCAGCCCTGAATTTGGTTATTACATTTACAAGTCTTTTAGTGGAGTTTTGGTGGGCTTCTCTGTACAGTATCATGTTATCTGTAAATAATGATAATTTTACTTCTCCCTTTCCAATCATTACTCCTTTTATATCATTCTATTGTCTAATTGCTGTGGCTAATATTTCCAGAACTATATTGAACAGGAATGGTGACAAAGAGCATCCTTGTCTTTGTCATGTTTTTAAAGTGAAGGTTTTCATATTTTGTCCATTTATATTATTGATTTATTTATTTATTTGGTACAAGGTCTTGCTACACAGCTCAGGCTCACAGTGATCTTCCTTTCTCAGTCTCCCTAGTGCTTTAATTACAGGTGTGTGTTACATGCCCAGGTTTCTGAGGCCGGCACAGCAAGCAGGACCAGGGATCAAAGAGGGTCTTTGTGTTTGCCAGGCAGGTGCATAGACTGCCAACCTATCTCCCTGGCCATTTTTTCCATTTAGAATGATGTTGGCTGTGGTTTGTCATAGATGGCTTTTATCAGGCTGAGGTAAAGACCATATGTTCTGATTCTCTATTGTGTTTTTACAATGAATGAGTGTTGGACATTCTCAAAAATCTTTTTCTGCATCTATTAAGATTATCATGTGAATTTTGTCTTTGGCTCTGTTGAAGTGGTGTATTACATTTATAGTTTTATGTATATTAAACCATCCCTACATTCCTGGGATGAATCTCACTTGGTTGTGATGTGTAATCTTCTTGATGATTTGCTGCACTCTGTTTGCTAGCCTTTTATTGAGGAGTTTTGCATCTATTTTTGTTAGGGAGATTGATCTGTAGTTCTCTTTTTTGGTTGAGTGAATGGCTAATGATGTTGAACAATTTTTATATATTTCTTTGCCATTTGTATTTCTTCATCTGAGAAGTGTATATTCATTTCAGATACTCATTTTTTAATTGGGTCTTTGAATTTGGGGGTCTGATTTTTTTTAATTCTTTATGTGTTCTAGATAGAATGCCTTTTTCTCAGGGACAGTAGACTAAAACTTTTTCCCAATTCATGCATTTTCTTTTTGTTCTGTTGTTGGTGATTTCTTTTGATGTACAAGATCTTTTAAAAAGGTCTTTCCTCTTGAATTTCTGCCAGCAGAGTATGAGAATGAAAAC